GTGGTTGACCAGTTTTCCCAGCACCACTTGTTAAAGAGGTTGTCTTTTTTCCATTGTATATCCTTGCCTCCTTTGTCGAAGATAAGGTGTCCATAGGTTCGTGGATTTATCTCTGGGCTTTCTATTCTGTTCCATTGATCTATATTTCTGCAGAGTTAGAATTTGAACTGAGGTATCCTAGTCCACCTACCGACTCGATGGGCATGAGTTTGAGTAAACTCCGGGAGTTGATGATGGACAGGGAGGCCTGGCGTGCTGCGATTCATAGGGTCACAGAGAGTCAGACACGACTGAGTGACTGAACTGAACTGAACAGATCCTAGTCCAAAATGCATATGCTTAATGGTTCATTGGACATGAAATACACGCATTCTTCTCCATTACTAATTTTCTCTCTCTCTTTTTTTTGCCTCCTTCATTGTCCACAAACTCAGTTCCAATCAACAACTTCTCCCAGTATGAACAAATGATTGAAAACAAGATAAAGCAAATAAGAAGCTGGAGAATGAGAGTGTGAAACAGCCTCAGAGATTCTCTCTTCTTAAGGGTGGAACACCCACTTCTTGAGCATAAGTCCTTACTTAGATATCCTGAAATGACTTGTGAATCAAGCCACATGATCAGAGAGAAGGGAACTTGGGACCACATTGTTTGAGACTTTTACCTAGTATCTTTTACTGAACCATCTTCATTCTTCAACACTATGGCAACAGTCTCCATTTAGATCTGCTTTAAAATATAATTCTATCAGTTTCATTATTGCATCTCCCCTAGGGATGCGATGCTTCTAAGGATATATCCTAACCATCTGCAGAGGATTTTTTAATAAAATGTAGGAGAAAGTTTGGAAGCTGCATTATACTCTGTATTTCTTCCCCACATAGACTCTACTGACATCTCACTGATAAACTTAGACTATCAAATAGCTTTTTTAATGAAAGTAAGACTTACATTATTGTCAGAAATACTTGGGTTTATGCATTAAATTTACTATTCACTGTCTGTGTAACTTTCAGCAAGTTCTCAACATCTCTGAGTCTCAGTTTCCAAATATAAATATATGAATAGCATTTAATAGCAACTACAGTAACTGTCATCTAAGGCTGTTGTGAAAATTCATATAAATGAAAATACATATAAAATGCTTAACGCATTATCTGAGACATATGCTATCCTCTGCAAATTCTGCTTAAAAACAAATAATACAGAATTCTCTCTTCTTTTCTCCTCTCCTTTCCAAATTCTCTTCCCTTCCACCTCCTATCAGACAGAAGCTTGACATGTGTCATTGTAAAAGCACAAGTGATATGCCCACCCTAACTTTTTCCCTAGTGAGTGAATCTCTGGTACCAAGAAATTGTTTCCAAGTTTAAAAAGACATTGGGGATGTATCTCAATAATAAGGCTCTGTCATGACCCTGGACCATCTTCTCCTTGAATGGTGCATGCAATTATAATTATCTGCTACTCTCCATGCTTTCTATTGATGCCAATCAGGGTTACCAGAGAGTGGTAAATCCCCAAATTTTCTTGCTCCTGAAGTCTCAACAAATGTAGGTTCCACCAATCTTTCTTGCTTTTTGGTGTTTTAGGATTAATTGAACAATAAGCAGGCATTAACCAATGAATTAATGGCCAGGAACCATCTTAAGTGGCAGTTCCAAGTTTGCATATATTGTCAAGTTGACATCAAGAAAATGACTGGAGATCCTGGGATCAGGGACATTAGATTCACATGTCCCCTCAGCTATAAGGTGGTAGATTGTCATCTTCCTTTCTTCACATTATTCTTTATCTTTTCATATATTTCTCCTGCCTTGATAAACTTCTCCTATTTTCTGTTTTGCAATGACCTACCCTCACTTCAAGGCCCATTACAAATGCTTCCTTCTGAATGAAATCATCCTGGATTCATGTACCCAGAGAGAATTATTAATTCACTTCTGTATGTATTCACGTACTTTTGAAACCTTTTCTATAAAATTATTGTTTCTAAACAGGTGTTTCAGTTCAGTTCAGTCACTGGTCTTTCCAATCATCATGTATGGATGTGAGAGTTGGACTATAAAGAAAGCTGAGCACTGAAGGATTGATGCTTTTGAACTGTGGTATTGGAGAAGACTCTTGAGATTCCCTTGGACTGCAAGGAGACCCAACCAGTTCATTCTAAAGGAGATCAGTCCTGGGTGTTCATTGGAAGGACCGATGTTGAAGCTGAAACTCCAATACTTTGGCCATCTGATGTGAAGAGCTGACTCATTTGAAAATACCCTGATGTTGGGAAAGATTGAGGGCAGGAGGAGAAGGGGATGACAGAGGATGAGATGGTTGGATGGCATCACCGACTCAATGGACACGGGTTTGGGCGGACTCCAGGAGTTGGTGATGGACAGGGACGCCTGTCGTGCTGTGGTTCATGGGATCATGTCGGGAGCTGGTGAGAGAAACCCCTCGCGTGACAAGGTCTGGGTTCAAGGAGCTGGCAGGCAAACGCGTCCGGACCTCCAGAACGGCTCCACACGCAAAGGCATCCGGACCTCCGGGGATTTCTCGGGACCGCCCCACCATCCACTCCCAGGCCTTCGTACTTTCATCTTCTGATGTTTGGCATTCTTCCATGTTCCCTAAAAACTAGTCTGACTCTTATCTAAAATCCCTCCTTGAAACCTTTAAATGGCAGCAACACATGGGTCCCAATAAACAAGCCAGAGGTAAGGAAAATATTACACAGAACATCTTGCCTCTTCTGGCTCTGTTGGAATTACGATTGCCAATTTAGAAACTGGAGTGCTCACGACTGCACAAAAACCCTTCTAGCACAAAACCAAGTCTGCTAGCAACAGGCCTATCTATCCCATAAGCAAAAGTAGATAAAGTGTCCATTACGAGATTGAGAAGATTCCTTGGG